TAACAGATGCTTTCTTTTTTCCTGCAGCCACTGCCACCCCACGTACGCATCTGGGACTCAGTTTCCCTCTCCACCTTACATGTGCTGGGCCTGGGGGTGTTTGAAAGAGCCGTGTGCTGTGTGGGCTTCTCTAAATCTGTAAGTCCTTTGAGCACCCTCACCTTCCAAAGCCGGACAAATCCTCCCCACCTCTTCACCCGCGCTTTTAGGTGGGAAACCACGCCCACATTGTGATGTCACAGAGGCGGGCTGCGCCTCAGCAGAACTGGAGGCGGCTGACTTCCAAAGTTTGACCTCAGAGGTCTGCAGTATTGGCTGTAATAAGGTGCACCATCTGTCTTGATGTGCCCCGAACTCTCAGTATTTGTTCCCTTGCTGGTCGGTGAATGTTTGTTGCATTATTGTTAGCATTCCCTGTCACTCTGGAAGGATCTTTATCCTTAGGCATTTTAAGCCCAGTATCTTAGGGCCCAGCTGCTCCCAGCTGTGCAGTCCCAGACAGGTGTTGGCACGTCCAGGCATAGATAAGTACAGAAATCGAGAGTAAACCTGTAAGAATGTGCAGAGCAATTTAACATTACCACAATAGTCAAGTGTGTGATTGTTACATTTTTATCACATTTTACAAAAACATTGGTTTGCAATGGATCTGAGAGTAAGAAACAGCCAGTCCTCCTCCCAGATAGTTTAAGAAGCACTGGCTTAGAGCCTCAGAAGTTTTCTAAGACTTAAAGAGACATTTGAGAGTTTTGTAGGGGGTTGGGGAGGAAGCCAAAGTGTGGAGAAGAAAAAAAAAACATGCCAAGTCAAAATTAACTTGTATTTTAACTAAAGTTGTAAAAACCCAACATTATACCAACTTTATTAATTGCTGAATTACATATACATAAAAGTTGTTCCATATGAAAATGCAAATTAGATGATATCAGCAAGAATTTGTGTGCTGGCAGCAGAGACATCACAGCTGAGGGTAAATTAGATGAGTTTGTTAGGGATGAGTCATTTCAAAGGGCGAGTTATCAAAACCCTTTAAGATGATATTGCAGTGCTTAGACAAAGAGTGTATTTTAATGTGTTTTGTATGACATGGGATAGGGGCTTTGAAGGTCTGAAAACAGGCCCATTTGGCAAGTGCCCAGTGGGCATGGGTAGGCGGGTGGGGTGGGGGGAATGGATCTGACTTACCTTGCCTCTCTCCTCTGTAGAATGGGGGCAACCTGTTGTGTGCAGTGGACGAATCCAGTGATCACATGCTCTCCGTGTGGGACTGGGCTAAGGAGTCCAAGGTGGTGGATGTCAAGGTAAGGTGACCTTTCTCATCTCTTCCCTTTGGGGTGCTCCTGTGGGACCTTCTGATCTTAGGGGTTTGGACTCTAGAACCAGACAGTCCATGTGTAAGTCCTGATTTTGCCACTTGCTAGCTATGTGAATTTGAACAAGTGACTTGCCCTCCTTGAGCCTCAGTTGTCTCATCTATGAAATGGAGATAGCTCAGTGCCTATAGCTCAGCAGCTAGGGCACCAACCACATATACCAGAGCTGGCGAGTTCGAATCTAGGCCAGGCCTGCCAAACAACAGTGACCACTAAAACCAAAAAATAGCTGGGTGTTGTGGTGGGCGCCTATAGTCCCAGCTACTTGAGAGGCTGAGGCAAGAAATCTCTTAAGGCCAAGGGTTTGGCTCGGCACCTGTGGCTCAGGTGGCTAAGGTGCCAGCCACATACACCTAGGGTGGCGGGTTTGAATCCAGCCTGGGCCCGCCAAACAACAATGATGGCTGCAACCAAAAAATAGCCGGGTGTTGTGGTGGGTGCCTGTGGTCCCAGCTACTTGGGAGGTTGAGGCAGGAGACTCACTTGAGCCCAGGAATTGGAGGTTGCTGTGAGCTGTGATGCCATGGCATTCTACCCAGGGGGACAGCTTGAAGCTCTGTCTCAAAAAAAAAAAAAAAAAAATAAGGCCAAGAGTTTGAGGTTGCTGTGGGCTGTGACACCATGGCACTCTACCAAGGGTAACATAGTGAGACTTTGTCTCACAAAAAAAAAAAAAAGAAAATATGGAGATAATGGTAGTATCTTGTTCAAAGGATCTTTGTAAGGATGTTGGGATATGGATGGGTGGACCTGGCCCAGCAGAAGAGTGGTATAAAGTGGCTGCTGACTACACAGTCCTGTGGTATCCAAGATAGACCTTAATTTGCCTCTCTGGGCAGTGGCCTACTTCACAGATAAACTGTAGTAGAGGGAAAAGATACTCGCCCAAGGTCACATGTGTGTTCTCTCAGCTGTGAGCAGGAAACCTGGGTTCCAGATTAGGGTCCACTACTTAGAGAAGGAGAAATGGTTGCGAGGCTGGTGTCTCACAGGCTGCTAGATAATAACCAGTAGTTTAGTGATGAGGAGATATTATCAGAACAATCTAATTTCCTTTTAAGACAGAGGAACCTTAATCAAGAGCATTTATTAAATGTCTATCTCCACATAGTCTGATAGACTGAATGTAGACAGGAGTCAGGCCTAGGCGAATTAGATTCCAGACCTGACTCATACCTAGCTGTGTAGCTTCAAGCAAATGGTTGCCCTCACTAATCCTTACTTCTGTAATGAGGAGACCCTAATGGTTCTTAACTCCTAGGGTGCTGTGAGATTGTAAAGTGCTTACTTAGCATAGTACTTAGTGTGGAATAGGGGCTCTCAAAGGATCTGCTATTACATTGGTGACAGAGAAGACTATAATAATGCTTCACAGGGCTAGTCCTGCCTCCTGTAGTTGAGCATAGGAAAGGTTCAGGCAAACAGGTTGTACGGTGCACTGCCTACACAGCTGTATAGGGTGGTCTTGTATAGGATGGGTTGGTAGGCCTGGTGGCTTTGAAGTCCTCATTCTGAATCTCCTCTATCCCGAAAGTGTTCCAGCGAGGCTGTGCTGGTGGCCACCTTCCACCCCACAGACCCCACCCTGCTTATCACCTGTGGGAAATCCCACATCTACTTCTGGACCCTGGAAGGAGGCAGTTTGAGCAAGCGGCAGGGCCTCTTTGAGGTGAGTGCCAAGGATTCAGGGACAGGTTGGACTGGATAGAAGGAACACTCAGGGAGGCAAGAAGACACATATCAGAGGGTGATGAGTTTGGGATTACAGAGATGCTGGGATGTTGCCTCCCGGGGCCTTGGTTTCTCTCTCCATAGGGGAAAGGGAGGATTCAAAGGGATGAAGGGTACAGCAGCTCCCAGTAAAAAGTAAATGCTCTGGCTTGGCGCCTGTGGCTCAAG